AGATAGTAACCATCAATGTCCACAAAGAGAGTAGCCCAGCAGTTCCCACTCCTTCTCTGGGCTTCCCCTCTCCTCCACGTCAACAAAACAGTATCCAGTAACGAGCCTGACAGATCCTGATCACATTGAAGTGCCACGTGGCACAGTTCTCTCGTGAAGACGTTGGAGACAATCAGCAGCGCACAGTATCGACATCAACCTCAGGTAAGTATCCCGATCCTTCTCAATCATCCACAGATCCCGATCTCCCTCCTTGTCGCATCCAACTCAGCAATGTAGACAATGTGGCAAATGCCACGTCAGCAATGAAGACAGAGTGGCATGCACCACATCAGCAATGTTGAAGACAGTGTGGCCCTGCGCCACATCAGCACAGGCTGGCGCCAAAGCAGAAAGGTGCCAGCGTGTAGCAGCAGTCTCGTGTCGTCCACAGTGCCAGCGTACAGCGAGCGTCAAGCCAGCGTACAGCTAGCGTCAAGCCAGTGTCAAGGCAGCATAGCAAGATTGAATGTCGACTCCCTGGAGGCCAGGCCTTATGTAATGTTTGACGAGGCTGACCGGCCTCAGGTTGACTCACACCCGAGGGCCTGGATTGCATACAGTTGCAGACTTCCACTTGGTCCTGATGCTGTCTTGGTACCTGGATACGAACAACTGTGTGTGTCTGACCGGCGGCCTGGGCTGGGTACATGCAGACTTTGACTCTTGGGTCGCTGGGCAGTTGACCAAAGTCAACTGTCCGGAGCACAGGCCCTGGGACAACAAGGGGATTTTCCTCCCCTGGCCTTTGCGGCCTCAGACCGGGGTCGCGGCCTGCGTGTGGCCTGAGGGGCCACTTCAAGGCATATCAAGTGGGGTATTGCATAGGTATGGCCAGGAGTTTAATGTGATGCCCTTGGTATGACTAACGCCCCCACTACTTTCCAGCAATGTATGAATGATCTATTCAAAGACCGGCTTGACAAAGCTGTAGTTGTATATTTAGACGATATCCTAGTTTTTAGTAAGACTCTAGAAGAACATGAAGAGCATCTACGCAAAGTCCTGACAAAGTCCCAAGAAATGTGAGTGGGCGAAGAAGCGTGTGTTGTATCTCGGCCTTGTCATAAACGGAAACGGTGTGCAACCGGATGATAGTAAGGTTGTAGTGATTAGAGACTGGCCGACGCCAAAGAACATCACAGAACTACGCTCATTCCTAGGACTGGCTAATTACTATAGAAAGTTTGTCAATAATTTTTTCACCATAGCCGCACCACTTCGTAGATTGTTTAAGGAGGGTATTCGGTTGTGGGACAAAGACTGCACTTCATCCTATAAGAAGTTGGAGTTGATTGAGTATCCGGTACTGAAGCTTGCAGATCCATCCTTGATTTTTGTTGTGACCACAGACGCTAGCCAGTATGGGATAGAGGCGATGGCAAGGACTATATCCCAGTAAAGTTCATGTCCAAAAGATTACGATCAAAGAAAGTAGCCGACTCTACCTATGAGCGAGAGTTGTATGCCCTCCATGAACCCCTACAAACCTGGCGACATCATCTCCTAGGAAGACAGTTTAAGGATTACTCAGATCATGAGACCTTGAGCTTGTTAAGAACACAGGCCCGAATGTCTACTAAGTTGCAAAGGTGGGCTAGGTTCATAGACCAGTCTGACTTTGACTTTAAACCAGTGAACGGGAAATATAATGTTGTCACCGATGCCGTATCCAGAAGAGCAGATTTCTTTGGGATGATTACTACTTATTTAGACATAGGAAAATACTTGTACATGCTTATAACTCAGATCATATCAACAAAGAAGTTACAGCTGAGGTTAAGGAGAAACCACATGAATGGCCATACTACAGGATAGCTGACAGATCATTGTTTCTTACATCCGACAGCAAAGATAAACTGAGCATTCCCTCTAATGAAGAACATAAGAGTATCATCCTGGGAGAACACATGATTCTGAGGGACATTTTGGCTGGAGAAAGACTTATGCTAGTCTACTACAATCTAATATATGGCCTGGAATGAAGTCAAACTATCACATCCATACAGCAGTGTAGAATTTGTCAAAGGAACAAAAGTTCAACTCAAGCCCCACTAGAATTGTTAGGAAATCTACCTGTTCCCTTAGGTCCTGGAGACTCGGGTATCTACAGATTTTATGGACACGTCAAGAGCAGAGACAGAAATACCCAAGTTATGGTCATAGTGGATCACTTCAGCAAGTATGCAGAATTTGTTCCTTTGCCAGCCGAAGCAAAAACAAATGGTCAACGTTCATCCCTTGACTATAGTTAGTGATAGTGATGTTAGATTCACCGCGGAACACTGCCAGCAACTCATGAAAGTGTATGGATCTCAATTGACCATGTTGTCAGGTAGGCACCCTGATATTAATGGTCAAACGGAGCAGATGAATACGTTTTTGCAACAGACCCTTCGCATGTATATTAGACCAGATCAGCTAGATTGGGACGAGCACCTCCTTAAGGTAGCCAGTGCATACAATAACTCAGTGCACCTGTCAACTAAAAAGACACCTAATGAATTGCATGAGTGGAAGCCACAAAAAACTATAGATGGACTTAGTGATAGTGATATTAGATTCACCGGGGAACACTGACAGCAACTCGTGAAAGTGTATGGATCTCAATTGACCATGTTGTCAGGTAGGCACCCTGAGACTAATGGTCAAACGGAGCAGATGAATAAGTTTTTGCAACAGACCCTTCGCATGTATATCAGACCAGATCGGCTAGATTGGGACGAGCACCTCCTTAAGGTAGCCAGTGCATACAATAACTCAGTGCACCTGTCAACTAAACAGACACCTAATGAATTGCATGAGTGGAAGCCACATAAACCTATAGACGGACTAAGCCGGGACCAGATTCCGAGACTACCACCCGGTACTCGTGACTTTAAACTGATGCACGATTCAACATGGTAGAGCAAGCTAGCAAACACCTAAGATCTTCAAAGTTCGCAATAGGTGATTTAGTCTGGGTGAAGTCCAAGAAATTTGTGCATGGAGAAGGGATTTCTAAAAATTGCTACCTGCATGTAGACCACTGTGGGAAATTCTAGATGTCAAGAGAGACACTAATGGTATGTCTTACACGGTTGATGTTCCTCCGTGTCTTCGCACTTATCCAGTCTCCTATGCTTCAAAGTTGTTGCATGCTAATTTGGGACAGTCCTTCCCCTCTTTTCGATCAACGATTTTTAAGGTTCATGTTTTTCTTTCCTTTTGAAGTCGCATTCAGGCAAAATTTGTGTAAAAAATAAAAAACATAATTAAAAAAAAGAGATACGGCATTGACCATATTGTAGATCAAGCTGAACTTAGAAACCGGTAGACGGGGGAGACCAAGTCAACAGCTTAGAGTGAGATGGCAATACCAACACATAAAGAGGATAAGTGGTACCCCAAAGAGCAACTGCGTGAGACCACACCTAGCGTAGTCTCGCATTATGAGCAAGCACGCAGGGGGATTCGTGAGTTTGACAGGTAGCTACTCCTACTGATGTCATCGTCATTTCAGCCTGATGAACCATTTCGTAAGCAATGGTCTTGATTAGCATCTCAACTTCTAGCTAACGAGAGTAGCTGATTGCAAACCATCACTGCCAGATTCCTACAGCTTTATAGGCATTGCTGATTTCACAAAGCAGCTTCACCTTACTGAAATAATACCTCTGGGGGACCTCGAATTTTGGCCGGCGCGAGTAAAAGGATTCATTCGCTGCTGCAGTATGGCCCTGGTACAGTGTCCCATTCTCTTTTGTACCTTCGGACCAAGGTAGAACTTTCCGGTTGGTAGAAGACCGATAGGAACAGTAGACGGTCCTAGAAGTCCATAGTTTGGGAGTGGCCACGTGTCCAGTCCCAGTCCCATCGCAGGTCAGTCCCAAGGAAAGGACACGACAGACTGTATGTTTGTCTGCTGTGGCAAGGCCTGGTAGGAAGAGTCCGGAACACATGGGAGGCAGAGAAGTAGGCACAAAAGGGAGGCCAGAGTGAGGCACTGTGTACTCTTTGATTCCGTCATTTGCAGAAGCCGCGCTGCCCAGCCGTTGTTAAGCGCCAAGATCTTGAAGTGAACAGTGTCGCGTGAGAGCGGGAGAGAGAGTAGTCGACGGCATTGGGTGCCTCAGCTAGAGCCTCGCAGGGAGAGAGAGCAAGAGCAGTGAGGACATTCAGAGAGCGATCGTAAGACCTGTGCACTGTAGTTGGAAGCAGTAGAGGGGGGGGAGAGAGAGAGAGAGAGAGAGAGAGAGAGAGAGAGAGAGAGAGAGAGAGAGAGAGAGAGAGAGAGAGAGAGAGAGAGAGAGAGA